GCTCATTTTTCATCTTTCCTGCTTTTAAAATACCTAATGTCTCTACAATATTAATAATATCTTTATATATGACATTATTTTATATAATAATGTCTTTATTTATAATTTGCTAATATGTATCTTTATTAATCATACAAATCTCTTGCATTGTTTCAGACTTCCGTATTTAGATTTTTTGTTAAGAATTGAACTTCAGCCAAGCATGTTCAAACCAAAGCTAAAATTTTACGGGTAAGAAAAGCTAAAATTTTACGGGAAGAAAAAAAAAAAAAAAAAACTTTAAATAACAATTCTTGTACAAGTAATTAGTTTCGAAAAAAATTGATCATATAGCTACCAGTTCTTTTGAAAAAGATGACAAAACTGAGAAGACACAATCTTGCCATCTACTGCTTGAACGCAAAACGTTTTCCCCTAAAAAGTATTCATATATTATAATTTTTCTGCAAAAAATAATAATCTGTTATCATACTCAATACTATCAAAAATATTATAAGGCAAAATTGACTTTCTGTGTTTCTGTACAAAGTGTTACTTTTGGGCTTATGGGGCAGAATATGATAAATCAAATGCTGCTCAAGTCTTTTACAAGCAGTTTCAGTCTATATTCAAGGTCACATATATATTTATAAACATATAAGCAGAACTATCTGTATTATATAATTTTCTATCATTCTCATCTCCTTCTTTTTAATATTAATTATTAATTAGAACCTAAGAAAGTCGACCGTATTTCTTTTAAGCAATCGGGTAATCTATAATAAACCAAAAAGAATTTTTTATGCCTTTGTAGTTTTATAATTACCTTCATAGTTCATTACCCTTCGCTAAGTGGAGTCATGAAGACTGCATTGAAAAACTTTTTCTTGTCTTCTTTTTATTAACGTTTTTGTGTGTTAAATTTATTATTAAATATATTCTCCGCACTTAGGCCACATAAAAATCAGTTCAATACGAAAATCATAAAGTATTTAAAAACAGCATATCTTTAGAATTTCAGATATATAATCTTGCGCGCTAGAGACAAAACGTTTTATTTCGTACAGTGTGCTGCTTAGACGGTATAGAGGTTAGGGAAGTCTGTCTGCGATACCGAAGAGCCCAGGTTCGGATCCTTGAGAAGGCATGGATGTCAAATTGTCTATCCCTTCATAGGAGGTAATGGTGGCACCTGTTCAGTGCCTCCACAATAAAACGACCACCACTTCTGGCCTTAGGAGTGGCCAATGCCACTATAGGCAAGTGCCTGCCATGGGGAAAAAATCGTACAGTGTTGCCACTTCAAATCCCTGAGTTTGCTAAAAAGTCATTAAAATTTTACAAAATATGAAATACAAAATTCGGGCTTCAGGTTCACATGCTCGAGTAGAGAACTACGTTATTCAAAATTTGATGGCCCTCAGATACCGTTGTTTTTCACAGGGAGAGAAACATACTACATACATTCATGCAGTTCATTAAAAACAATATAGTTTGTTGTTATAGAAGGCCTCAAAACTATGAAGAAGCAAACTTCGCCTGTAGACAAATTAAGTGCAATTGTGGATATTCTTGACAAAATTAGTAATTGCCTTTAACACATTACGCAGTATTAACCTGAGAAACATCAAAATTCTTTCATAGAATGCCAACGGCCTATTCAGCAGAAAAGACCAGTTTGGCGATCTTTTTCTGGAACCTGAACCTGCCGTAATTCTTATACAAGAAACACATTTGAAACCTGCACTGAAAGTGCTTCACGCAAACTGTGCTACTTACTGTGCGGATTTAGAAACCGGACCCGGCGGTAGAATTATCACTTTTGTTAAAAGGAGCTTTCAACATCAACTCAAGCAAAATCTTTCTACCTCTTTTGAATGCTATCGAAATTAAAATTGAGCACAAAATTGAACAACTACCGGACTTTAACTCACTAGCTTTAATTAGAAGAGACTTTAACGCTAAGCATCAATGCTAGAATCAAGAAGCTGGCAAGAGAAAAGGAAGAGAAATTTTTGGCATAATTTTTAAAAAATAATGCAATTTTTAAGCCACTGATGAGCCTACGCATTACGGCTATAGTTCTTCTATTACTGAATTTTTTTCTATCCAACAACAACAACCTCGACAACAACAACCTGCTAAATTTCTGATATTCTAGCTCTCTCATCTGATCATAATACCCTCTTTCTTGAAATCATCATAAATAATTACTTGCCTTCACTGGGCAGGAATATTGGACTGACAGACTGAAAAAAATCCACAAAAATCATTTCAGATACCATTCCTGGAAGTCCCCACATCATCAGTGAAGACGATATTGACTATGAAATCAAGAAGTTTATCACCTATATTCAACGTGCTATGAATTTCTCTGCCAACAATGCCTCTGCCATCCTTTTCCTCCTCTTCCAGCCAACATAAGACAAAAAATCAAATGCAAAAATCATATAAGAAAAACTAGTAAATTACAAGAGACCCAAGACTCAAAACGCAATTGAACTCGCTTCAACATGACATGGAAAAGAACATCAGTAACTTTATTACGCAACGCTGACAAACTTTCTCAACTCTTTCTCAAAAGAAGGTAATTATCTTTTTGGCATTGCAAAGAAAGTTAATAAAGCTTTCTAGCAAATTACACCACTCCATTAACAGAACTGCTTATTTAGACGATGGCAAAGCCAACACTTTTGCTGATATAGTAGGAGAAACGTTTACTCCCAATACTACTCCTTACGACAACAATCGTATCTCCAAAATTAATGATACTGTTAAGACCTCCTTAAATCTCCGGACCTTTGAACTTTACATTCCTTTCCACGAAGTTAGTTCCTCTTCCAAGTTAGTTGCAGATTATATTAGCTCTTTAAAACCTCCAAAAGCTCCATGTATTGATGGTATATCTACCAAAGCGCTGAAACATCTTCCTATCAATGCTGTCATATGTCTTGCTAAGATAATCAACTCTATCATGTAAGCACGACTGTAAATTATTTAATTGTTTATTAGACAAAATATCTATTGAGAAAATGGCGACAGCTAATTTCTGGATGTCGTTCTATTTATAATTTTAAAAAAGATATTTAGATGATGTACGCTTAAAAAAATGTTTAATGGTACGCAGTAAGTACGTTTGTTATGTTATGTACGTTTACGAAAACGTTACGTGTAGGTTATTAAGATTTATCTTTAAATAAACGTTTGTTTGTCTTTTACAATCATTTTATGAGTGATTAATTTAACTACAAGAAGGAAGTTAACAATCATAAGGTTCTCATAGTTTCCTAATATATGGAAACATGTCATCATCGTCGTCTTCCCAAAAGCACATAAAAATTCCACAGTTCTGCAAAACTACCGTCCAGTGAGCCTTCTCAGTCAGCTTTCATTGAGCTCCTACATTCCAGAAAAACAGTTTGGCTTCCGTCATAATACTAATCACCAGCTGCTTCGTGTCATTAGCTATATTACTGACGGTTTCAATTGTAAATACCTTACCGGAGTCATATTCCTTGACACTGCGAAAGCTTCTGATAGGTTATTGCACCAGGAACTTATCTACAAACTTGTCAAATTGAACTTCCCAAATCATTGCATTAGACTTACTGTTTCTTATCTGCAAGACAGAACCTTTTCACTAAAAATTGGCAATAATGTTTCTACTACTAGAAACGTCTTCTGTAGAGTGACTCAGGAGTCAGAACTCTGCCATATTTATATAACATTTACACTTACAACATTCTAAAGACCTACTAGTTACCATAGATTTTTTCGCAGATGATACAGCAGTTATGATTCCACAATTGTCTTGCTCCTTCTTCAACATTACTTGAACCTTCTAGAAAATTGGCTTACTCTTTGGAAGACTGCAGTTAATACTGAAAAATCAAAAGCAATAATTTCTCATAAAGAACAAACAAATTTCATATCACCAAGACTTCTTCTGTTTGATGAAGAAATTAACTGGGTTGACCAAGTTAAATATCTAGGAGTTATTTTAGATAAAAAAAAAAAAAAAAAATTACTTTTCAGAAATATTTCAGGGAAACTGCGCAAAAAAGTAATATCACGCTTGCAACTATGTGCCCAATTCTTGGCAGAAGAAGCCATATGGCCACTTCAAATAAACTCTTCTTACATAAGCTTATACTTCGACTATCATTACTCTATGCTAGTCCTGTTTGGGAGCACGCTGCCAAAACTCACTTTCAGCATATCCAAAATTCTTTAAAACAAAGAACTTAGATTATCAACTCGCCTTGGCTCATTCCAAATTCGTATATTCACCGTGATCGCAAAGTACACACAATTCAAAATTATATTAAAAATCTTACCAGAAATTTCTTCTATTCTGTTCTTACTTATCCTAGCAACTACATCAACTTTCTTAGATGTTCTCTATTTCCAATTGAAAAGCACAAATATCCATCTGACCTCCTCCATCCTTAAAATTTTTATTCATACTAGTTCATTGATTTGGACCTTCCACCAGAAACTCGCCTTCTTCGTCAACTGATGGCGGCCACTTAATATTTTCTCCTTATTTTGTCCACAGTACTTATTTTGTTTTACTGCTTGTCTTACCAGATGTAGAAGGAAGCACTGCTTTCTGAAACTCAAATTCAAATTATAGGTTCTTAGCAGTAGTAGTTCGTTATTTAATTTCTTTAAAAATAATGCAGGCTGATAGTATTTCATGGCAACAATTTGAAAAGTAATTCAGACATACGCCGCGAAATCTCATTTTGAAGCTAATAGCCCATTTGGTCTAAATAGTTACATAAATCTTATAATAGTAGTTATATATTTTTTTTAAATATATACTAAAGAACGGCGGCAATTGTTTATGAAAAAAAGATAATAAAATAACTTTTTTTTATCATTGGATGTCCACACAGAAAATAAGATCACCAATATAAATGTAAACAAACATTCCTGTGCTTAGAGCTAGCTTACCTGTGCTATATGCGTAGACATTTCTAGTGTGTCTTTGCGCAACTAGTCGGACGTCTAGCATTTTCACAGTGTATTGGCTAATTGTCCGAAGTGGGACGGATAGACAGAGAGAGATTGTTTGTTTGTTGACTTAATTGACGTCGTGTTGCAAGGATTTCAACGTTTTACTTCATTTTTAGCCATGTTAAATTTTCGATGTGTTATTATTGGGGTTTTGTGTTCATTTCTTTCACAAAGTGTCTCAAGTGAAGTATTGGAACAGTTTTTTAATGAACCTATACCTTGTGAGAATCCCTGCGATAAATCTTTTTCAGAATCTTCACCTGTAAGTGTAATTTCAAATGCACATTCCTAAAATAAATTAGGTTTTAAAATGATAAATTATAGCTTCATAATTTGATTCTGTAAAATGTTATTAAATTGTATAATGATTTTGATGCGAGACTGAATTTAATTTTTTTTCTATAAATTTACATAATTGCGGAAGCATTTTATTCTGTTATCTTTTAATAATATTATAATAGGATACTGAGGTTAGAATCTAGCTTATCCTTGTTCCTTCCACTTTTGGGGAATAAATTCTCATCTGAAGTGTAAATCGAGACAATTGATAACTGTTAATCTGCATACTAGGAAGAATAATATTATTAATAATATTTTCAGAATATTGTGTTTTAAATCTTGAGAAAATTGAAATATTAGCAATATCATTAAACTATTCCTTGAAATAAAATTAGTTATTAAAAAAGTGTTGATCAATAATTTGCTTAATAATTCGGACACTCGGAATTTTAGTTGAAATGTTTTGGTATTTAATGTTTCTTACATCAGTTTATTGTTTTAAATGAAAATACATCATAAAAATTATCATCTGCGTTTTAAAATTAGTTGTTTTTCCTGCATTGTTAGGAAAATCTATTGAATTTTTATGTACTTGAAATGAACATGACTAGACACTACAAATTAACGAGTTCAAAATTTAATTATTCGTCATTTAAAAAAAATTGTTCATCATTCGAAATGTTCAAAAAATTCCTTTATATAAAGCTTTCAGCTGGCTTTGTTGTTATAAAAAGATGAAATTTGCATGGAATCATTGAAAATGCATTGAAGTGTGGAACACATTCTAAGCTAACACCTGGGAATCTGAAATTTATCCTACGAAAAATCAACATCTAAAAGTTAGTTCTATAAAACTTGGAGCGGATTTAAAAGAATGGCTTGAAATAAAATTTATCTCTGAAACTGTTAAAAGAGCCATTAGGACATATGGATACAATGGGTGATCAGCTAAAAGGAAATTTTTCATCAACAAAGCAAGGAAAATATGACTGGCTTTCACAAAACCCGTGGTTAACAAAGCTGTATCATATGGGACACTGTTATATTTGCAGACAAGTTGAAATTTTATATATTTGATTCCTGTCAATGAATTACTACTTGGTGAAAGTGGAGTGATAAATTGAATCCCAAAACTTCTTGCCTTAAGCAGGATAGTACATAATAGTCTTGGAGACATAATGGTTTGGGGATGGGAAATTTAGTTTTAATCGAAAATAATATTCATTGCTATAAACATATAATTATTCTTTATTAAAATGTGAAAGAATTTGCAAGAAAATTTGGAATGCAAAATAGATTTAAATTCTATCAGACTAACAATCTTAACTTACAGCCCGTGATATTTGCTTGTGATTATTGTACAACTTGCTTAACCTTTTAACTATTATGTCCAAGATAATCTCGGGCACAGCACTGGTGTTCGAAAATGTCACGCCCGAGTATTACTCGGGGTAGTTTTTTTTTTTTTTTTTTTTTTGAGTGCATCGTATTGTTATACCCAAATATATATCGGGAGACGTTTATTTAGTCTTCATCTCTTTGTCAAACCAGACTGTATCTCGGGAAAAGTTAATGTGTACTCAATTCAATAGATGGCAGCACTTTACTGAAAATTTCAAAGGTTAGAGGTTAGAAGTTCTTTGGTTCAAAGTGCGCGGGATCTTTTTGTTGTAAAATGGTGTCCAGTTCTTTGAAACATTATATAGATGATTTAGATTCTTCAACCGAAGATGAAGATTTTGAAGGCATCGATACTAGTGACGCAGGTGAAACTGGGGAGAGTGACATTGAAAGTAGCAGTGAATCAACGGATAGCGGTGATGATGATATAGGAAATGCAAGAGACTGGTGTGAAATAACTGCTTCTGGCCGATCAGGCCCCCCGCGGTTCCCTTTTACAGGTATTCCAGGTGTAACTTTTCCTGTAAACATAAACTAAACGCCTTTAGATATTTTAGAAATGTTTCTGGATTCAAATCTAATGGATTTAATTGTCAAAGAAACAAACAACTATGCAGAACAAGAAAGAAAAGCAAATCGGGTAAAGATATCAAGGTGCTCCCGCAGTAAAAAATGGATCCCTACAAATAGCAGAGAAATGAAGCTATTCTTTTGGCTAATAATTCTTCAAGGTATTGTCCGAAAGCCAAATCAGGCTATGTACTGGTCTTATCGAAGGATTTTGCATACTCCAGTTTACTCAAAAGTAATGCCCGTAAATCGTTTTATTTTGCTTTTTCGATATTTACATTTCTGCAATAATGAAGCTGAAAAAAAAAAAAAAAAAAAGAAGATTTTCCAAATCCAAAACTTTGTAAGCTGTATAATGTGATAGAAAATTTACTGGAAAAATTTTTGTAATTTTTACATACAGGAAAGTGATGTATCAGTTGATGAAAGCTTGATGCCTTATAAAGGAAGGTTATCTTGGAAACAATATATTCCTATCAAACATGCACAATTTGGAATCAAATTTTTTATGCTTTGTGAGGCGGAAACAGGGTATATTTGTAACTTCATTATATATCCAGGAAATAGTACTGTCTTCAATCAATTGTATACAAATTATGGACTTTCTACAAAAGTCGTCATGCACCTATTGCATCGCTTTCTTGGAAATGGTTATTGTGTGACTGTAGATAACTATTACATGTCACCCGAGCTTGCAGATTTACTTATAGCCAAAAAACAGATATTTATGGCTCAGTAAGGATAAACAGATGAGATTTACGTACAGAATCGCTAAAAGAAAATTACAAAAAGGTCAAATCATAGCTTTTCAGAGAGGTAAGATTTTGGCTATAAGGTGGAAAGATAAGAAGGATGTGTGTTTGATGAGCAGTATTCACGATACTTCCATGGTCAGCTTCAAAAATAAAAAAAAAATGAAGATATACTCAAGCCGAAGATTGTTTCTGACTGCAATCTAACTATGGGTGGTGTAGATCGCTGTGATTAGGAATTATCCTTTCATCCAACAATTCGAAAATGTCAGAAAAAATATTTTAAAAAGATATTTTTACATTTACTAGACAAGGTACTCTGGAACTCGCATTTGCTCTATAAAAATGTAATTGGGAAATGTACTACATTTTTAGAATTTCGAATTTTTAGAATATTACGAGGTGTCTGAATAGCTATAAGGATGTCTTATCTCAAATAAAGGTTGTCTTTGCAATGCTTATGCGATTAAATGTCTTATCTAAAAAATACTTGCGACCGCGGGTAGGACTCTGTCTTCAATATCAGTCGAACTCAACCTTCTTGCCGATCGCAGAATTTCTTTCAAAGTTACTGAGCCCAATAAGTATGGAACATGACGAAGAAGTTACTTCTAGCGAAGATGAATTTAATTTTTCGGCAATAACGAACGAAATTGCATCACTACATAGACAGCTTGCCCATGAGAACGAAGACGGAAGTAATAAAGATAGTGACGACGTTAGAGGAGAAAGAAGACGAAAAATCCGAATAATCGATAGTGAATCTGGAAGCCAAAGTGATTGTACAGAAGAGACTGAACCTTCAGAATGGACAATGTGCACAGAATCCGAAGAAATCCCCAGAAGAATACCATTTGTATCCGGTGAAAGACAAGTAGGACCGCACGTATTTGCACACATAAAAGAACCAATAGATTTTTTCAAATTATTTTTCACCGAGGAATTAGTTACTGAACATAGGCAGGAAACTAGCAATAATGCTGGCAGGAAGGTGGAAGGGAAGACCTTATCATCCGTTCTATAACGGCGATCATGGTATGATGTAACAGTTACCGAATTTTGGCATTATTGGGGCAATCATAAATATGGGGACAATGCCACTGACAACATACAAGAATACTGGTCGAAAAATGATACTAGTTATATTTCCGTTTTACTCAGACATGTTTACGAGAGACCGATTTTGTCAAATATTTTGGAGACAATACCCTCAGAAACACAAACCCTAGAACCCGTTTGCAGTTAGTATCGGTTTCCTCGGTATATAAATGAAAGGTTCTTTGATTATTTTGTACCCGGAGAGCAATTTGTGTGTGGATGAGTCGACTGTCAAATTCAAAGGCAGCATATCATTCATTATGTACAATCCAATGAAACCTACAAAATGGGGTATATGGGTTTATACGCTCGCAGATTCAAATACCAGCTTCATTTGTGCTATTCTGCCATATTATGGATATCAGACAACAGAGACTTTGATAAGACCCAATCTGCCGGTATCAACCAGAATACCGCTACATCTATACAAAATGATACAGGATAAAATTCCCGGTGTTCAGGGACACCACATGTTCAGGACGTTATTATACGAGTTACATATTGGCGGAAGAATTACGGCAAACAAAGTGCCACTTAACTGGGACGATCATCACAATAGAAAGCATCTGCCATGTGAAATACGAAAGCCAAAATTTGAGAATCGAACCACATGTGCATATCGTAAAGGTAATATTTTGGTTCTTGTGTGGAAGGACAAGAGGATTGTGATGGCTTGGACTACTTGGAATAATGCGGGAATAACTCCTGTAAGAAGAACTCTATGAGGCGGTATTAAAGTCGTTATAAAAAAGCCCAATGTTATTGTAAATTACATCAAATTTATGAGCGGTGTTGATCGAGCTGACCAACTGGCTACGACATATTGTTTTTAAAGAAAATCCATAAAATGGTGGCGAAAACTATTTTTTGGGGATTTAGAGATCTGCTCCATCAATTCATACATTCTTTATAAATCAGTAAAGAAGCAGAGAAACGAACGGCCGCTTTGTCACCTACAACATTTGAAAACTTTAGTGGATCAACTGAGAGGAAACTTTCGACCAAAACAACCCAGCACAGCTTCTACTTCCCACAGCATTTCTGAAGCGATCCGACTAAATGGGAAGCTGCATATTATTTTGAGGGGGCTAAAAAAGATTGCAAGGTTGTTCCCAAAGAACGTCCCAAAGGCGACAAACTGTATACTACTGTGACACGTGCC